ATTCTGTTTATATGATACATTAGAACAGAGTCGTATTTACTTAAAACTACGACTATATGCAAATATACATATAATTTTATATGGCCGACGGCCACAGTATTATTTCATTTCTTAACGCGGGCTATATGGTATTGAGATTTTTTTTTAAAAGTCGAATTTAGGTGGGGATTCTCGGGAGTTTCCCGAATCAAATAACAAAAACTAAACATTCGCATCACCGAGAATTAGTTTGAAGATTGTCGAAATTCAGAGATTACAATAATAATGTTTACGATAAAATGTACTTTTCGTCATACTGACAACGATAGGAATATTGTCGAGTTTTCTTGCGCATTCTTGACAATGTTAGGGCCCCCTCAATCGCGGGGCCCCGGTGCACAGCATCCGCCGCACCCCCCCGATGGCCGGCCCTGAGAGCAACGTTCGAGATTTATAGGCGCAGATGCGGTTTTTTTTTGCGTTTTTGCGGGAAATCGAACATAATTTCAGACTCATCTAAAATTTTTCTAATTAGTCTGGAAACAGGGCGACCTAATTCTTGCATTCTGAGAAAACGGGTAATATTGACTGTAATGTAATAATCTTCGCTATCAATACTTTTTGCCCGAGCAACGCCGGGCTTATCTGCTAGTATGTAATAAAATAAAACAGTAAAATGCAGATTTACTTACTTTACCATTACCTGTTTATTGAACAGACACGTTATACTCAGACTATTATGTACAAAACTTTCATTCACAATATGTAGCAATAGGGGAAGGTCGGGTAGTACCGGACAAGCGTTGTTTCTAATACTTGCTGCAAGTGGCAGAACCTGTGAAGACACCGGCAAGTTGGGTGAATAAATAAAGTTCAGATTCCGCAATATTTAGTCAAGCAGCAGTGTTGTTAACACGTGGCAGAAAATTTGGTTTTTTAATTAATAGTGTTTTGAGTCGACGAAATAACTGCTGGTTGTCATAGCTTGCCCGAAAATAAGTCAGTTTTTTTGTTTATTGTTGAAAACAACATTTATTGTTCTTTAACTCGTAGGCTGAAAATCTCCTTAAGCTTACTATTACTAATACGTATGTGGTAACCGATGTTTTGTTCCACGATGTTGCGGGTTGTATGGGACAGAGGTGTTACGGGCTGTATCGGAAACAGTTTAAGATTGATAGGAATTATATTCTCACGGAATGTTTTTGTTTTACGGGAGAATATGGATAAACTACGGCAGAAGGAAGGAAAGAAAAAAGAAAAAATCTATGCAGCTAAGAAAAAACTGCTGGGGGAAAATCGTCTAAATAGAGACAAAGAAAGAAAACAGTAAATAGGCCTAAATCAGTTCAAGAAAAGAGAGAAGACCAAGAGACTCGCTGCATCATCTGGGGTGAAACCTTTGAAGAAAACTGGATTCAGTGTAGGATTTGTGAAAATTGGGCTCGCGAAAATTGCGCCGATCTTGAAAGAAACAATCTGTTTTATGAATGTGATGATTGTATTACCAAAAAAAAATATATATATAAGTAAACACAGAATGCATTTGTCATTAAGACGAATTTTCAGACGGATAAATTTTTTCTCATTTATACTATTATCTTATCATGTATTAATTTTAGTTTTACGATCTGTAATTTGCACTTTTATAAATTTTTCAATAATAACTCTGCCTAATAATAATAAGTTTGTGAAACGAAAATTAATTCTCTTCTTGCATATTTTTCTCGTGTCCGATACAACCCTCCATAATTGAACCCGGTAAAAATATAATGACTGTAAAAAGTGTAAAAGATTATTAATATTTTTATCTTAGAAAAACGAGTTTTAACGGGTGTTTTTATAAGACAATAAAGTTTTGTATGGAATGTAATCTGGACCAATTCAGCTGTAAAAATATTTTATAATATAGGAGAAGCTTAAGGTGTCCGATACTACCCGACCTTTCCCTATAACCCGATTTAATTTATCCAGATTTCTACTTAAAATCTGGATAAATTAAATCGAAAATAAAGTAATTATATTTTCGATTTATCCACATAATCTAATTTCAAATTATCTTATTAATTTTTTTATAAACCAAATATAATTCTTTCTTTATAACATGATATTTCGCAATTACGTTTTTTAATTTTATAACATTTTTTGACAGAAAAATGTTAAAAAGTTACAAAAATGCTTGAAAACGGTAAAACTACCTACTAACCAAGTAGATAAACCTCCTCCTCGCCGTAGTGCGACTCTAAAGCCTGGTACCCACATGCGGCAACGGACGACGGAAATCGTCGACGGAAACGGTTGCCGTTCCGTCGTCTTTCCGTGTCTCGTGTACTCACATGCGGAAATTACCCTACAATTGAAACGCGCCATCTGCCAGCCGTAAATATAAACAAGCTACTACAGTAGGTAGGCCACGTGCCAGTAGTCGAAAATGGCGTCTACCGGGATTGCTTTGTTATATCAATTAAACTTTTTAAGTTTGCCTTCGATCTTATCGCAAATAAAAAAACCTGAAAAACGAATAATTTGGATAGGGAAAATATTCTAAATCGTCGAAAGTTAGGAATATCGAATACTTTCGTCGCCGAATTACGCTTACTCCATTCCCAATACTTTACGCAGTAAGTCTATTTGACATTAATATTTAAATCGGATAGTAATACAGCGTATAAATGAAATATATTAGCGTATTAGTGTATAAATAAAGCTTTTTAGCTTGCCGACCGCCATAGTTTGAACGCTATCGTCCCACGTGATCTTTATGACGACATCGCTAAACGGTCCTCCTATTGGTCTAATTTTTGCCGTGCCGCTTTCCGTCGCGGCAAAAGTTGAAAATTTTCAACTTCGTATTCCGTCGACGTCGACGGCAAAAGTGACGTCATTTTGCCGTTCTGTCGACCGTTTCCGTCGTCCGTTGCCGCATGTGGGTACCAGGCTTAAGGCCAGCTATCGGCAATCGGCACATTAACTCTACTCGAGAGCGTGGCGCAAGGACCAGTATATCTATCGACTCTGGTTGAGCCAGTTACCTACAAATTCTATTACGGTATATTTTCAGATGCTTTAATGCAAAATCCTCGATGTCCTTGGCTGAAAGTAATTTAGCTTTTTGGTCCAACTGTTTGTAACGATATTTGTTCTTTCGATAAATAGCGATTCTCGTGCAAATAATGCCAATAAAAGATACTTATCCCTCTCCACTTGTGGGCACTAAAAAAAGGCTTCTTTTAGCCAGCCATTACGGGTTCGATCAGGCCCACAATGGGGCGGCCGAGTGGTGGGGAGCGGGACCCGACCCACCATTAAAAATTCCTCGAGTCGCTCGCTCGCTCGAATTCGACCCGGAGCCATAGTCCTTAGCTGCTCGTATGATTATATCAGAAATTAAGAGAATAATTGAAGAAATAATCGAATGGGGAACGTGAAAGTAATAAATTTAACGAGAATTACAATGCTGACGAAACGTTCTCATTGAATTTCGGCTAACACGAGCCTACTTCGAAATCTCAAGGCGCGATGCGAGACACCGTTTTAGCTCGGTTTCTCGTGATGCTTTTTTCGCGTTTAGCTGTAAAGACTTTTCCTTGCCTCAAATTTAAGTTGGTGAAACGAACAGGAGTTTACCATCGATTGCGAGTTTTCCTTTTGCGTGTGCCACAAAAACATTTTATTCTATTTTGCAGTGTTTTTTTCGATACGAAAGAAATACAAATTACGCATACAAGACGCACGCGATATCGAATTGGCTTAATTGTTAAAACGCGTTTCGCAAAAAGGCCGTTCGTGTATTTCTTCTTTGCCAACCAACGAACGAAATTGTTAAATCCTGTCGTTTATTCTCGTCAGAAAGTTACTGTTCGAGACTAAGCGAACTAAACTATGGAGCCCGGCACGCAGAATTTCCCGGGTCTGGTTCATCCGTCTTACACGTGAGCAATTCCCAGCGAGCGCAAGAAATTGTAATTTTCTCCACGTTTTTGTTATTGCGGAACAATTCTGTATAAACGTAACAAGAGTTTATATTACTGTTGCAGAATACGTTATATTCTGCAGATTTAATAGCCGTAGCGAAACTCGTGGGCAAACTTAAATTTCTAGTTAATTTCGTGGCATGTCTGTATATCTCCGGGGAGTAACACAAAAGAATTGTTTAAACGTCTGTCGACTAATAAAAGGTGTGTCGCCACGTCCTTGGATAATAGCCAACTGGTCGATCTCCACGTTACGTTCGTTTAGGATATAACGACGTCGACGGTTGATTATTGTAATTGTTTTTGCGTTAATTAATCCGATTATCGACGGAAAAAAAGAAAGAAAAAATAAATTAGCCGACATTTCCCGTGCATTTTTTCCGGATGTAAACTCTTCTTTCATTGGCAGATCGACTGGCCGTGTCGGAAAATCGACCTATAGTGCCTTCGATGTAACCGGCGGCTCACATTGGATGGAGGGTGGCGACTCGTCGCTATGGCCGACAGCTAATGCCTGTTTCGGTAAGGTTTCTTTTTATTTTAACCTTTCTTAGCTTTAATATTATCCTTTTCCCACCGAGAAAATGTACGAAATGTATCGAATTTACGAGAAATGAAAAATGCGACGCGGACTTTCCTCGCGCGTGCTTTGTTGTTGTAAACAAACAATTTCCTCGGCAGTTGTTTGGAGAATCCCACGTTGCTATGTAATCTGTCTTTTTTAAATTATGCAATCGGACGATCCGTCGGGATTTCACCCGCAGATACTAAGTTCCGAGCCGGTTGTAGCGTCACAATACGAAAGATACCACGCGTTGTTTCGGCTCCTGTTTTGACACAATGTCTAACACCGGATCGGTTTCGTCATAGAGTGAAATCGACGTGTTGTAGCCATTTAAACTTCGAGCTTTTTATATTAAAGTAATCTGAATTTTGATACGCACTGCGCTTCTACTGTTGTTTTCCTTTCTTCGTAATATAAACATCGTCTAACCTTTATGTAAAAAATTTATGAAATGATAACAATTAACCTTATACTTTTAAAAAAATTCTACCAAAATGCTTTATGGATGGTTTAGTTGATGCTTCCGAGCTTTCCCAAAGAGAACATTGTCAGATTATTTTATAACATCAATATATTTTGTGTTATAAGAAAAAAAGTGAAAGTATAGATAACAGGATAATGACGATGGTTTGGTTATACAAAATGAATGATATAAATTTCTGGGAAGGACGGTCGAGATAGAATGGAGAGTGAGAATCTGACGGGAAAGTCTAAGAGNAAGACGCACGCGATATCGAATTGGCTTAATTGTTAAAACGCGTTTCGCAAAAAGGCCGTTCGTGTATTTCTTCTTTGCCAACCAACGAACGAAATTGTTAAATCCTGTCGTTTATTCTCGTCAGAAAGTTACTGTTCGAGACTAAGTGAACTAAACTATGGAGCCCGGCACGCAGAATTTCCCGGGTCTGGTTCATCCGTCTTACACGTGAGCAATTCCCAGCGAGCGCAACACAGAATGCATTTGTCATTAAGACGAATTTTCAGACGGATACATTTTTTCTCATTTATACTATTATCTTATCATGTATTAATTTTAGTTTTACGATCTGTAATTTGCACTTTTATAAATTTTTCAATAATAACTCTGCCTAATAATAATAAGTTTGTGAAACGAAAATTAATTCTCTTCTTGCATATTTTTCTCGTGTCCGATACAACCCTCCATAATTGAACCCGGTAAAAATATAATGACTGTAAAAAGTGTAAAAGATTATTAATATTTTTATCTTAGAAAAACGAGTTTTAACGGGTGTTTTTATAAGACAATAAAGTTTTGTATGGAATGTAATCTGGACCAATTCAGCTGTAAAAATATTTTATAATATAGGAGAAGCTTAAGGTGTCCGATACTACCCGACCTTTCCCTATAACCCGATTTAATTTATCCAGATTTCTACTTAAAATCTGGATAAATTAAATCGAAAATAAAGTAATTATATTTTCGATTTATCCACATAATCTAATTTCAAATTATCTTATTAATTTTTTTATAAACCAAATATAATTCTTTCTTTATAACATGATATTTCGCAATTACGTTTTTTAATTTTATAACATTTTTTGACAGAAAAATGTTAAAAAGTTACAAAAATGCTTGAAAACGGTAAAACTACCTACTAACCAAGTAGATAAACCTCCTCCTCGCCGTAGTGCGACTCTAAAGCCTGGTACCCACATGCGGCAACGGACGACGGAAATCGTCGACGGAAACGGTTGCCGTTCCGTCGTCTTTCCGTGTCTCGTGTACTCACATGCGGAAATTACCCTACAATTGAAACGCGCCATCTGCCAGCCGTAAATATAAACAAGCTACTACAGTAGGTAGGCCACGTGCCAGTAGTCGAAAATGGCGTCTACCGGGATTGCTTTGTTATATCAATTAAACTTTTTAAGTTTGCCTTCGATCTTATCGCAAATAAAAAAACCTGAAAAACGAATAATTTGGATAGGGAAAATATTCTAAATCGTCGAAAGTTAGGAATATCGAATACTTTCGTCGCCGAATTACGCTTACTCCATTCCCAATACTTTACGCAGTAAGTCTATTTGACATTAATATTTAAATCGGATAGTAATACAGCGTATAAATGAAATATATTAGCGTATTAGTGTATAAATAAAGCTTTTTAGCTTGCCGACCGCCATAGTTTGAACGCTATCGTCCCACGTGATCTTTATGACGACATCGCTAAACGGTCCTCCTATTGGTCTAATTTTTGCCGTGCCGCTTTCCGNCACGTTGCTATGTAATTGTCTTTTTTAAATTATGCAATCGGACGATCCGTCGGGATTTCACCCGCAGATACTAAGTTCCGAGCCGGTTGTAGCGTCACAATACGAAAGATACCACGCGTTGTTTCGGCTCCTGTTTTGACACAATGTCTAACACCGGATCGGTTTCGTCATAGAGTGAAATCGACGTGTTGTAGCCATTTAAACTTCGAGCTTTTTATATTAAAGTAATCTGAATTTTGATACGCACTGCGCTTCTACTGTTGTTTTCCTTTCTTCGTAATATAAACATCGTCTAACCTTTATGTAAAAAATTTATGAAATGATAACAATTAACCTTATACTTTTAAAAAAATTCTACCAAAATGCTTTATGGATGGTTTAGTTGATGCTTCCGAGCTTTCCCAAAGAGAACATTGTCAGATTATTTTATAACATCAATATATTTTGTGTTATAAGAAAAAAAGTGAAAGTATAGATAACAGGATAATGACGATGGTTTGGTTATACAAAATGAATGATATAAATTTCTGGGAAGGACGGTCGAGATAGAATGGAGAGTGAGAATCTGACGGGAAAGTCTAAGAGGAGGGAACCGTAATAGAAAAATGTACAGATTGGAGAATGCCCGGAAGGACGACGATTAACGTGCTCCGTGTTGTTTTTCCCTCTGGCCTCTTCCCATCCGAGAAAGAATGGAAGGAGGACCGGAGTGGTAGACGGTCGGGAATGGGAAACTAAAGTTTGCAAGGCTTATTTTGAAAAGACGGTACAAGACTTAAAAAATATTACATTAATTGTCCAGACGTAAGACTGTCTTTGCTCGTAAACTTTGAATATAAGACAAATGTAAAATTTTGAAACATTTATTGTATAAATGGGAAAGATGAATCAAACAAAAGATGGCAAAATATTTGAAATACACAAAAAACAAAATTTCTGAACAAAACCCTGTTGCTATTTTTCAATTTAAAATCAATACAATTATTATAGAAAGAAATTGTCAAACTTGAAAAGTTTAATATTAGTTTTTAAATGTAATAATAAAAAGAAAATTTCTCTGCGACTCGAAATTATTTATTGATTTGAAGTACCGCATCAAAACGGTATTAAATACTTTATTACAAAAACAATTTTTAGACTCTGGAGCGTAAAAACTGAATTATTATTATTATTATATATAATTTTATACTTGGCAAAAGATGTGCATTAATGTCTTTTTTTTCTTGAAAATGTCCTGGCGTCGTCAAACCTATTTTATCTTTTTCTTTGCGTGCATCAATTTTTAATGCAGGATCTGCTAATTAATAAAACTAAAATTCAAATGAAGCAAAAATGTTTTGTGGAATAAAATTAAAATTTTTATGAGGTAATCTTAAATAAATCAATAGGTAATATTTATATATATATTGATATAAATTTTAAAAAAATAATCTACGTAATGCGTTCTGTTAGAAATTTATTTTGTACCGGAAAGAAAATTGATGCAATTTTTCCGTTACTCGGAGTTAAAAAAAAAAGCATATAAAGAGGGCAATTAAAATAAAATAGAAGTACTGTATTTACTGCTTAATTTTGTATTAAATTTCCAAAAAATTTAATATAAAATGATTAGATTTGATGAAAAAATTTAATTAAAATTTGGTTAATTTACATATTTTCTAATGCGAAGGTTTGGAGCCATAAACATTCTTTAAATGAAAAATTAATGATTTAGTTATTTTTAGATTTTTGCACAAAACTAGAATAATAATGTAAACAAAATTTTTTAAATATCGTGTGAATATCTTCAAAGTTTCGGCAGGGAAATTGCACTTGGCCGTTTTCTCGGAACCGCACCGCCACTGTTACAGGCAAATGATTTTAACGATTCCCTTTTATATTACGGACTGCCAGGTAGAGAAATTAGTAAATTAATACTAAAACCTTTTTTGTCTTCATATGTGAGAGAGTTAAATTTTATTTCTATAATTTTTACATGAAAGTTTAGTGATGACTAAATTCTAATATGTATAATTTTTCTCATTAGTTTAAGTGATAAAGAATTCGGTTTGTTTTCATAAGTAATTTTTAAAAAATTACTTATGAAACTGTAACAGAAACATTCATATTCTTCAGCTTTCTTAAAATTATAAATAATAGCTTTTTTAAAAAAAACTTGCAGCTATCGTTACAAATTAAAAATTGTATTTTCTTGTTTTATTCATGATCCTGTTGAATAATCTCCATATATATTAAAATTGTTTTATTGTTTTCTCTGTGAATATTCCATTTATCGAACCTTTTTGGCCCGAGTGCACGTCTAATGGTTTCTTTGCATGTTCGAAAGAAAGAAAGAATGCCAATGTACAATAACGTGTAGAAATGGGTATTTTTTAATGCAGGTTTATAGGTTAGCTTAGAGAGATAGAAGAATTAAGTTTAGTTTTATTGGGTCATTCACGAAAGGTTTCTCCTTTCAGGTCTTTGTGTCGTAGAGTCAAATGCACGATAACTACTGTCATGTCTTCAGATCTAATAGGGGTCTGGGAAGTCCGCCTGAGCGACAGGGTCCACAGGGTGGAATTCGAACACGGGACGGCGAGCGGAAGAAGAGTTTTAAGAGTAGACGGAAAAGTAGGCAAAATTAATTAAAGATTTTGTTTTAGTAGTGAAAAATATGATAAATAAAATTTTGTGAATATTTGTTTGTACCTTTTTATTGTAGGAAATCCTGAGAAGAGATTGGATGTTTCGACTGGTGGGATCTGAAACGTTTGAAATTGGCAAAACCAAATGCTGCATCAACATCAGACCGACCAATGGCTTCAATTACGAATATACCCTCAGCGTAAATGGTAGAGAATTACAGAAATTTCTGGAAACGCAATCGAAGATTTTGAAAACCTGGATACTGGACCTTGATGGCGAAGCTACACGAGTGGTTCTTGGTTAGATAATATATATTCCTCTAAAAATTATAAATACTTTTTATACAAATTAATGATGATATTATTATTATTTTTTTCACTGTTTTAGAGAAAGATACTTTAGATGTGTGGGTTAATGGTCAAAAAGTTGATACAGCTGTAAGTAAATGAATTATCTAAGTAATTGCCTTTGTACAATTAGTTAAAGAATTTTTTTTTATGATTTGATTAAAATTAATTTATTAATATTTGCTATCATTTAGAAAATATTAATATGGGTAATGAGCCAATCAATCCAATAATTCTATTATTTTAGTGATAATTTTATCAAAAGCACACTTAAAATATCATCATCATTTATTATTCATTTGACATTTCTTTTTTTTACTACTTTTGTTCAGTTCTATTATTAAAATTATTTTTTCTTCTAGAACAATTTAAATTTCTTTTTCTTAAATGGAATTTATACACTTGACAAACGATCTTTTTTATTTATCATAGGGAGAATTTGTCGAGGACGGCACCGAAACGCATTTCAGTCTCGGTTGCCACGAAGCATACATCAAGGCCATAAGCAGCGGTAAGAAGAAAGAAGGCATAATTCATGTTTTGATTGTGGACAATATGGAAATCCCAGAAAGTATAGAATGATAAATTGTTAAAATGCACTATTTTTAATTTGTGTTCGAAATGCGCTGCACATATCTTGCATTTGTCTATAGATATTTTTTTATTGTGCACGACGGTATTTTATACTCCGTTATTGGCCAGTTAGTGTTGCCAACTGATAAAGAAAGTGATGATTGTTGTTATATCTGCAATGTTTCAAAATATTTGAAAATCATAGGATAATATAGCATAAAATTCAAATTTCTAATTAGCTACCTCCTAACTGAACAAAAAGATCATATACATAGTCCATAAAACTTGAATATCTGTACAGATTTTTTTCCAAAAGCTATTTTTATTATTAAATGTGATTGCTCGAAGAGGCATGGCCGTCGCTCGTCTGGAACAACTCTCGCATGCTACGTAGACCAAAATATTCCGTCGGACATTTTGTATTTTATTTTTGGTTTATTGCACAAATAAATTGTTTCTTGACGGAAAAATAAAATATTTACATTTATTTTTAAGAATAAAAGTTTCTTACGAGCATTAAAGGAATCTGTTATTTTATTGAAACTTTTATTTCCTACCAACCATAGGAGGTAATTACTACCCATTATGAGTAAAGCATTGACAATTAATATTCAAACATGTTTTCAGTCAGGGTAACATTGGTTCTGGCAAACAATTTGGAATTTTAATTATGCTAAAATCATTTCATGATTGGAAAACTTTAATGCAAATTCTAAAATGCTTTTCTTTTTCTTAGATTAGTGATTAGAAAATGGTTAAAAATTATTAAAATTAAAGTTTACTTGATGTGACGTAGAGCTATCTTTTATGTTTTTTGTTATATTTATAAAAAAACTTCTTTCCGCTCTCGTAGGTCGTGATCATGATGGCACAGGCCGGCGCGACTTTCACCACTCGAGGAACCAGACCTGAAAGTAATTTTTCATTTCAGTATGAAACATTTTTGCAGCTAAAACATTAAGAGTAACAAAGTTAAAATTCTTATATAATAATGAAACTTACTTTGAAATGATTTTATTTACAGAAGAAAATGATAGTAAACATGCTGTCAGAATCAGGGAAACAATTGATTTTTTTTTCTTTTATAGTTTTTAGAGTAATTTTGAAAAGTACTATACCCATTTTCAAAAAATTATGAGACCTTTTTCAATTGTAACAAAGAAATCCATTTATATAAATAGGTGAAATTATTCAAAGGCTATGGTTGTCAACCTCATCACAATGAAGTAATAATTTAATACATGTCAAAAAATAAAATTTGTCCTTGTAATCAGCCAACTAAAGGCTAATATAAAGATATTAAAACCATCAAATGAAAGCTAAAAGTCCATGTAACTGGTGAGTAGGTCAACTAATAATTATACAGACTTCATATCAATTAAACATTTTAGGTACAATTACAAGATAAAAAAACATACATGACACTGACAGGGAAGTTGAACAGTGTCAATGGCTTGGAGTTTCTTTCTGCCGCAGCAATTCTTTGTTTTCTTCACAGCTTCATTTCTCTTGCACAATGCAAATTTTGTGGCTAGTATCTACCAGCCACAAAAAATGTATCGGGCAAGAGAGTTTTGTATTCACCTGAATTTTCTGGATACTGTATGCTGCTTGAAGTGAATCATAAACAATTATGTTGGGCTATCAGTTATTGCTCTTTGATTTTCTACAAGACACTTTAGTTGGCAGGGAAAACTCCACTTGACAACCACATTGCCATAGAAAAGCAAAAGTATCTGTATGCAAAACCTGAGTAAACATTTGCTGCTTGATTCATCAGGCACTGTATTAATTGTAATATGGTCCAGCTTTTTTGTCAGAGAGATGTCAAGGGGGACTGAAGAATTTCATCTTTATTTGCAGGAGCTATTCTGTTCTATCTACAAACACTTGTAAAATGTTAGACATGAAGTCATCTCGTAATGTTGGATTTGACTTGATGCTTAAATCAAAGCAACCTCACTAACTTTTTCATTTTGTAATCAAAGTAACTTTTAAGGGTTGGACATGATTTCAAAATCATTTATCATTTTCTTGCTCTTCAAGGTAATCTTATCTTCAATATTTCTTGTCTGTGATATTGATCTTTTAAAGGTTGGATGGACTTATCCAGTATAGTTTACTGTGCTCAAATTATGTTCAATTTTATTTTATAAACATGTCTGAATGTAGGAAAGGAAGTATTGGCTTGTTACTTTGATACACTTTCAGAAAGGATTAAAACTCAGATGCTATTGATTGAAAGAAACCCAGAATCACTTACATGCCTTATCCTTCAATTTGTAATTTTCGTTGGTTGGTGGCATTGACAGCTTTCCAACATACAACTACAAAAGTGCAGGTATACTAATGGTGCACACTGCCACAACTATGTTTTCAATCATAGCACAAAACTTCCTAGGAAATGTTGGAATGTGATTCCTGTAAGTTGTGCTTGTCTAAACAGGAAGACTTAAAAAAAAAAAAAAACAAACAAAAAAATACTATAAGCAGCATAAGAAAATCTGACAATTACACAAGTTGTGAGCAGTCTTGAAAGAGCAAAACAGTACATACAATAAACAGATTCCTATATCAAAGAGAGAAGGATTATCATCATCCTGTGGAAATTTCTTAGTATCACGAAAAAAATCAAGTAAAATAAAGAAAGGTGGGATTTCTCATGCTCAACTCTCTCTCTTCTTTCTCCTTGGCTAAATGCTTTGTGTATGGCTGTATCTTTCCTTCACTTTCAACAGTTTCAGATATATATGGGTGAGTTAACAGTAAACAAAACAGTTCTATGAGTACCAACAATGCTTCCAAAAGGTCACATGAAGTCGTATGGCTTAAAAATAATGGTCAAGTATCTTGTCTTGACTTCATTGTCACAGTAATGAACTCTAATATCCATTTGTCCCTTCCAAAAAATTTATTCAAGCTTTCATCAAACATCACAACAAAAGTCACTAGCCAACTTGTCTTGAAAGTATGGACCAAAACCATAAGCAAATTAGTTTGTCCTTTTCGATTTAAATTTTACTAGCATTTTGGCTGTTGCTGAATGCGAGTGGAAAGAATATCTGTGCAATTATGAATAGTTTGCAATGATGCATGGCATAAAACAACATTCAATGCCTAGATTAGTTCTACCCAGTTAGCTTACTTTTCTTACTGTTGCTATTGTTGACTGACAGACAATGTCAGTGGAAACACTAGATTGGCCAGTTGCTCAAGTTGGAACTTGGGTACTTGTGGTATATGTTCTTTTATCATTTATTGTTTGACATGAAAGCAACAATTTGATAATTTGGTGACTTCTGCTTCTCTCATGTTTTGTCCTTTGTCATCGTGTTGAGTGATTTGAGTAACTCCATCTTGTGCTCCATTTGGTCTTACATTTACACATCATACTTGGAATTTTGGGAACAGCAACTAGTTTAGCCACTACTCTTGGAAAGAACTTTTTCCAAGTGCAGTGGGATGCAATACAGGGCTCACCTTAAAAAGATGTGGGATGTTTGTATTTTTTGTGTGTTTCATAAAGAACTTATCAGGTTTCTAAAATGTGTATATTTGAAAAGGTTTTCCAATAAGTAAAAGACATCAAACAATAATATGCTCTCAAAAGTTTTGCATGCACATTTAAAAAGGTTGCCACCCCTAAGGTATGCAAATATGCAGAAAAAAAAAAAAAAAATAGGAAATACGAGATAGGAAATATTCATCTAATATCATTTTTTTCTTTTTGATATAGTCAACACAAATTTCTACCAAGAAAATTTTAATAAATCTGGAAACTAAAACACAACATTCTAGTGAAATTTCATATAATCCTGTAACAAAAAGCCATTCTGTACAAAATTAAATAAATTTGAATTTAAAATTGACCAATAAAATATCATAAACTTAGTTAAAAATGTATATTTATTTTATCTTCAATGTTTTTATATTAAAAAGTGCCAAAAAGCTTACTTTTGAAGATAGGGATGGGTTTTATAAAAAGATGTAAATGCAAATAATGAGTAAAATCATTAAAAGTGAAGGGGTGGGAAGATAAAGGGAGTTGTGACTATCTCCAATAGGGTCAGACTTAATCACCAAAATTTAATAGCATCAATCCCCTAATAAACAAACCTCCCTGCAAAATTTCAGAAATTTTTGACAAAAATCATGGGACTTAATTTTGTTCATCCTGTTTGAAGCTTAATGTGTCCCTCCCCACACACACATCCATACATAGAAATTACCCCCAAATCTTTTTGCATTTCTCAACATTTCAAGGTCCTGAGTCCAGAAATGAGAAAATCTCAAGGGGTCATTTTTTGACCAATCACCCTACTTTCCCTGTGTTATATATAATAGCCAGGAAAGTAAAATTTATGACAAAGTGGGTGATCGGTTAAAAATCTTTCACAAAAGTGTTCATTATGTTTGGACAAAGAACACCTCACAGAAAAAAATAAAAAGAAGCGACTTAAGGGAAGACCAATCAATATTCATTATTTTGTCTTCAGGCAACAATTCGAAACTTTCCAGAGCACGGGAGACGTAAACATTGACGCACAACCCAGTATATACTTATCAGATAGTATTCCTCTGAACTTTGAAACTCTCTCTTGTAATTCTAGCCATTTATTGTATTTGCAAGACTGTCTGGTTGACACTTGTTAAGTTTTATGTCGGTTTTTATTTTTGAAAGGTGAGAGTATAATAGTAAAGATAGAGAGTGGGCAGATGTCTAATGTTGCTGGTCAGTATAGCTTTAACAGGTCTACAGTAGGCTACAGTTCAATCTTATCTAAGAAAGATACTGTATAATTAAGAAGACTCAAGCAGCTAAAGGAGTAACAAGAATCACATCTGAGAGCTCATAATGGAACATGAAATGGATCTGATGACAGAAGAACTCTTGAATGAAGAACACCAAGAAACTCGACTAGATATGTTTTCTTCTAAAAATGAGGATTAATGCCAATATCTGCTCTTAAACGTCTTTTGAAAAAGTGGGAGGATGTCAGAACAATTGTTTTAGAATGGCAGCCAAACCAATTACTTCTGAAAAATCATGAAGAAGACAGAAAAGCAATCGAAACTTTAACTCCCACAAACAGAAAAAACACAACTAATAAAAATGCAAGACCGTGTATATATGTATTTTTATTATTACATATGAATAAATGTAGTAAAAAAGTATATATTTTTTATTTTTTTGGGGTCTCCAGAACAAATTAATCAAATTTCCATAAAAAGCTATGGTAAATCAATAATTGGTTAACAAACAATTTGGATAGCGAACAAAGTCTTGGAACAGATTATGTTCATTAATCGATCATCCACTGTATTTTGATTAAGCAAAATGTTTATGCTGACCAACAGTTAACACTACTTACTTTCCTATTATTGCTCATTAAAAGCCTACTTCACCAAATTAATTTTATATGTGTGATTTACAAGTAAATAATTGGCAAAAGACAGTTGGATTAAAAAACTTGCATTAAATATCAATCTCCATATTGTGTAGGTAGAAAAATTAAAAAATTCAATAAACAGAGTCGGGTGGTATTTCAATTGAATACCGGCTTCTCTGGACAGCATACTCAAATTGACTGAACTCCAAAAATATACCATAACCGAATTTATGTTGTCAAATCTGTAAAACAAGAATCGTATAAGGAACATATTTAAGTTTTTCTTATTGAACATATTACCTTCCATTGTTTTTTGAGTTATCTCTCTAGCATTAAAAGAGTAATGCAATAACAGGAGAGTACCATGGTAACCTTACAGACGAATTATACAAAAGTCTATTTAAGGAGATCAAAATTTACAAATAAAAATTCATCTTTTGTGAAGATGCTCTTGTGGAAATGTTATCAAGATTGGAAAAATTGACAACTAAGTACAATTTGCCATCACAAACCTTATT